GAAATGGTAACCATTCAAATTTGCCGACATCGAATTTCTGACGGAATTCCGACGGAATTAGTTCCGTCGGTATAAGCTGACCAATCAAACTTTGCCGACATCGAAAAAATCGGATTTCCGTCGTTATTCCGTCGGAAAATCGTCGGAAAATTACGACAGTTTATTTCCGTCGGAAATCCGTCGGGACAAGACGACGGATTTTCGACGGAATACCGACGGTTTCCGTGTCCGTCGGAAATCCGTCACAAAATTCCGACGGATTTCCGACGGATTCATTTTACTCGGAAATCCGTCGGGATACCGTCGAAAAATTCCGACGAAAATTTCGGCGATCGGAAATTCCGTCGGAATACTGCTTGTTTTCTTGTAGTGACAGCACATACGTCCATTCACTGATTTAGCAAGATTGCTTATTATCACAAATCCATGATCTATCATTAATTCCTTCTGAACCAAACATGATGATGACACTTGTCACTTGAGTTATTTTTGACCCATGGGTTATGTATTTTATTTTATTTTCCCCTAATCCCAAACGCCAAACGGAATGATCAGGTTTGACTGGTTCGAAGAAAGAGTCTTGGGAATAAAAATTCCAACTTTTATTTATGTTATATCGTATTATATAATGGAAGATACGTACGATGAAAACGCGATATCTAAATAAAATTGTAACTAACCAGATTACGACATATGTAATTGTTAATTTAGATTGTGAGATGTATCAATATTAACAAAATTTTAAAAATTAAAATAAGAAATATATTATAAACAAAGATTATTGACTAATTAACAAAAAAAAAACCGTCATACTAAAATAGATAATATTTCTAAATTATTATATTATAAAATACATTATTTCCATTTCAAAATATTTAAATATTCAAAAACAAAAAGAGATATCATATTACAAGTATCATTTTGCTAATATAATAATATGTATAAGACAATTTTAGTATGAGATAAATATAATAAATTGACGATTTAATAAATCTAAAAATATATAATCATAAAATAAATATTAAAGATATGTGTGAGTCGTAATTTAGAATCTAATTACATTTGTCAAATTATAGGCATTATAAATTTTAAAATCAAAAGTATTTACCGCAATACATTTTTATATAAACATGACACGTAAGCAAAATTATAACTCACGAGATCGTGACATGTATCTAATATTGATCAGATGATGAATGTGTTAAAAATTAAAATTAATTAAGAAAAATAAGATTTAAAATGGAAAGTAGTTGTCAAGTTACTAATCAAATAATAAAGAGTAAAATTTATGATAAATTGTTATAATTCTTTCAATTTCAAAATATTTAAATATAATAAATTGACAATTTAATAAATAAAAAGATATAATGATAAAATAAATATTAAATATATGTGTGAGTCGTAATTTAGAATCTAATTACATTTGTCAATTTATAGGCGTTATAAATTTTAAAATCAAAAGTATTTACCGCAATGAATTTTTATATAAACATGACACGTAAGCAAAATTATAAGTCACGAGATCGTGACATGTATCTAATATTGATCAGATGATGAATGTGTTAAAAATTAAAATTAATTAAGAAAAATAAGATTTAAAATAAAAAGTAGTTGTCAAGTTACTAATCAAATAATAAAGAGTAAAATTTCTAAATTTAAGATGAAATATAGACATTACATAAGCTATAAAAGAAAAAAATAATACATACAAAATAAAAATATCAATAAAATAATTAAAAGGACGAATGATAAAAAAAGGTATATAAATTGAAAAAAAACAAAAGTTAGAAAGGTTATAGAAAACTCAATTTAAAAATTTAAATACATACAACAATACAAAAATAAAATAATAAAACGAATTTATAAAAATACTTATTTTATCAATATAGAGTTATAGAATAAATGAAAATTTTTGACCTATAACGATATTAGTACTTTCCAAGTGTATATAAGTTATACTCCCTCCGTTTTAAAATATAAGATGTTTTAGCTAAAAGTGGGGAGATTAATAAATTACTTTTTCTTCACAAAGTATCATTTAATATATAAAATAAAAATAATTTCATCAATTATAAATAAGACTGCATAATACTATTGGTCGCACAATATTCAGTAAAGTAAAAAGTACATAAGATTGTAAAAAAATCTTATATTTTGAAACAAAAAAAAATCTCAAAAACATCTTATATTATGAATTGGAGGGAGTATAAGTTAAAAAATAATAATATTATATTTACTGTGGAGTTAATATTGTATAAAATTTGGCGAATATAAACCTTTATGAAAACTAAAAAGATGACATTAATAAAATACAATTATCAATCATGTACTTATGTAATAGGTCACAACATTATTTGTATTTTTTATGAGGTAACTAACATAATTTTTACTTTTTCTAATTTAACTAAATAATATTTTAATTGTTTTTATTTCTATCACAAAATTTATAAATATTCATAATGGATTAAAATATATATATATTTGTGTTATTGAGAATATGATTTAAATTACGATTATATATATCTTTTGATTTGCATGATACGGATTAAAATATGACAATTATGATATAAACTGACTTCTACTGGTGTTAAGATCTACGTTAAATAGTAT